AACGTAACAAAATCCAAAACGTAAATATACGTCCTTTAATGCCTCCAATTGGCCCCCACTGGTTCAATAATTCTCAGTTGGAGATAAAAAGTACTCAAAAACAGTCTTCAAAAGAAAGCAATACAGTCCGAACTTAATGAGCAGATAGAGGTGAAATACAAAACTAAAACAAAGTACAATGAAGGAATTTCCACAATGGACCAGGATAAGGAGGAGATAACGAGGCACAGTCTGTTGGAAGGATGCCAACCAAGATAACTTCAGCCCAAAATAAAACATGCTTTCTTTCTAGCAACACTGTGTTTTAACCTTCTCTCTTATATACTATTTTCCCCAGCTGCAACCAATGAGGGGATCATGGCCGCTTCCTCTCTCATAAGCCAAGTTGTTTCCTTTCCTTTCCTTTCCTTTCCTTTCCTTTCCTTTCCTTTCCTTTCCTTTCCTTTCCTTTCCTTTCCTTTCCTTTCCTAGGATGAAGAGTGGGTGGGCCTGGTTCTTCCTCTGACTGCCCAGCTGGGCTCTGCCCTTCCCCAGCCCCCTCCACAACCTCCAGAGCCACACCTCTCCCTGTCAGCTGTTCCTCCTCTCCCTCAGAGTCTGGCTCTAACAAGGGCATGACAGCTGGATTTGATCAATGACCGCGTGATTCACCTAACGTGCAGTGTTCAATTAGTAACATGGTTGTTCGGTGAATCTGGCTTCCCTGTTGACTTTAGCTTGTCGAAAGTTTGCAAAAGGGGATCACATGACCCCAGGGACACTGCAACCGTCACAAATGTGAGTCAGTTGGCAAGCATCCGAATGTAAATCACCTGACCGTGGGGATGCTGCAACGGTCGTTAAGTGTGAAGAACGGCCATACGTCACTTTTTTCGGTGCTGTTGTAAGTTCAAATGGTCACTAAATGGAACTGTTGTAAGTTGTGTACTACCTGTACACATGGGCGGTTCTATAACTCAGTTTAAGTTGTTCCTATTGTCATGGATAACAGGTTTGTGTTATCTAAAGAGAACTCATTTTTATTCCATTTGGGGTAATTTCCTCAGATATGGAAAGCAAGTACAGGAATCAAGAAGATTGAGGCCTAATTTTCTGGCCTGCTTCACGGCAGAAAACATTCAGGATCTGAGGCGAAGAGGAAACATTCCCAATTCTTGCTTCTTTTGGCTGGATAAGCTGGGAGGCTCCCTGGTGCATAAAAAGAGAGACCCCCAAAGCAGGGGTGGGATTCAAATTTCTTAACCAGTTCTGTGGGCATGGCCTAATTTGTGGGTGTGGCTTGGTGGTCATGTGACTGGGTGGCCATGGCTTGCTAGCAAATTTTATAAATATTTATGTAAATATTGAATTTTTTTATTTTAAAAAAGAGCAACTTTTACCCAAAAGCAGGCAAAGCAGGCAGGCAGATTGAGTTGCTCACGGAATCACAGACTCACTAAGGTATCTATCTTTCTGCAATCTGCTACTTGAGTCTGTCACATAAAATTTGCTTGCAAGCAAACTCATAAAATTAACTCACAACACACCATGTATATAAATATTGATTTTTTTTTTATAAAAAAAGAGAAACTTTTACCCAAAAGCAGGCAAAGCAGGCAGGCAGATTGAGTTGCTCACTGAATCACAGATTCACTCAGAGATCTACCATTCTGCCATCGGCTACCTGAATCTGCCCTGAAAAATAGAAGCTTCAGTCCTAAGGAAGGTTCAGCTCTGCTTTTAGATTAGCTAGAAAGCAAGAAACCCAACGATTTCTAGTTAATCTAAATCTCCCAGCACAGCAGAACAGCTGATGATTGGGGGGAAAAAGGGGGGAAAATAGCAAGTTAGCAGGCAAGTTTTGCCAGGTAAGGAGTGAGTGGGCTGGGCCAGCCAGTGGCGCGATTTGCCAGTTCTCCAAACTGTGCAGAATCATAACCGGTTCTATAGAACCGGTCCGACCAGGTAGAATCCAACCTCTGCCCCAAAGGAATTCCCCCTGGGTGAGCCAAGATACCTACTTCCGTGCCCGTTTCTCTCCAGTCCCACGTTCGGCTGCCACCAGGCCATACTTTACAATCTTTATAGGTTGTGGGGCAGCCTCTCACCGTCATCCGTCCCCATGACAGAGAAGCAATTTCAGGGGAAGACATAGCTGGGCGGGTGTCTGAAAGGGAAAGAGAAGAACATGAGGCAAAAGGATAACAGAACAGAAAAACAGAATAAGAGTTGGAAGGGACCTTGGAGGTCTTCTAGTCGAACCCCTGCTCAAGTAGGAAACTCTATCCCATTTCAGCTGTCCAATCTCTTCTTTAAAAACTCCAGTGTTGGAGTAATTGCAACTTCCAGAGATAAACCTGCTACACCTATTCATCTCCACCCCTTGCCTTTTGTCCCTTGGGGTGGGCCTTCACTAGCAGCAGTGGCTCTTCCATCCCAAGGACCGGACCATAGATTTCCACTGCTCTCCTCTCCTCTGTTTTCTGCTCAGCTGCAGATTGAGTGCCCACAACCTCGGCAGGCAAGTTGTTCCACTGATTGTTTCTGTCAGGAAATTTCTCCTTAGTTCTAGGTTGCTTCTCTCCTTGATGAGTTTCCACCTGTTGCTTCTGGTCCTGCCTTCAGGTGCTTTGGAGAATAGCTTGACTCCCTCTTCTTTGGGGCAGCCCCTGAGATATTGGAAGACTGCTCTCATGTCTCCCCTAATCCTTCTTTTCATCAGACTAGACCTACCCAGTTCCGGCAACCGTTCTTCGTATGTTTCAGCCTCCAGTCCCCTAATCCTCTTTGTTTCTCTTCTCTGCACTCTTTCCAGAGTCTCAATATCCTTTTTATATCGTGGCGAACAAAACTGGATGCAGTTGATTCCAAGTTTGGCCTTACCAAGGCATTATAAAGTGATATTAATAGTTTATGTGATCTTGATTCTATCCCTCTTGTTTACGCAGTCTAGGATTGTGTTGGCTTTTTTGGCAGCTGCAGCACACGGCCGGTTCATGTTTAAATGAGTGTCCACTAGGGCTCCCTGCTATTGAGCCTGGTACCATCGACACAGGATGAGAATTGGCTTTGCAAAAAAGCCAGAGGCGAGCAATTATGGCAACTTTAGGCCCTGTGTGGACTTCAAATCCCAGAATTCCTGAGTCATGGAAAATTAATTCAACATATAATTGCAGCGGAGATTATTATATGCAAAGAAATGGAAAAAAATCAGCATTGCCTACTACAGAACAGTTGGTGAAGTTGACAAGATTTTGCTGAAAGAGATCAATTTACTTCTCTGATTAATGATATATTCTTTTTGCAATTTTTTGTGTGCTTTAATCTTGGATACCATGGGACTTAACGTTGTTTCCTCTTACATGTTAGGATTCCATGTCACTCAGAATCAGTGTTACAAGATGGGCGGCTGCATAAATCTAATGTATTAATTAATTTGGAGGGTGCTACCCAGGCTTTTCAATTCCTGGTAGAGACTGAACTTTCCTCCTTAAATTACAGAGGAAGGGAGATATAAAACAACGGCATTGGTGAATATTAAAATGGCTGAGAGATGATTAACTTATTAGTTTTGTTCTTCTGTCATTTAAACTTAGAAATAAATTTTGTCTTTTTTGTCACGGCTCTGGCTTTATTTCGCTGTAATCTTTTTACATCTAATATTTTTTATTACTTTCTTTTACAACCTTGCTATTTTACGGCTATTTTATTTACTTGTCAATTTTCTACACTGCTCATCTCATCCTGATATTGATGCATTCATTCTGGTTGTGTTCTTTTGATTGTGTTGTTTACTTTATTGTTCTATTACCTTGTTTCTGTTCTGGACTTGTTTTATTTTTCTTCCTTTTTATTATTGTAAGCTATTCAATAAATTTAACCAAAAAAATACAGCCAGTCCTCACAATAGTTCATTTACTGGCCGTTCCAATTTACAACAGCACTGAAAAAGTGACTTATGATCAGTTTTCACACTTACAACCACTGCAGTGTCCACATGGTCATGTGATTGCCAGTGACTCATACTTACGACAGGGACATGGGATCCCCTTCTGACAAGCCGAAATCCATGGAAGCCACATTCACTTAACGACCCTTGTTACTAACTTAACAACAGCAGTGATTCGCTTAACAACTTAGAAAGGTCGCAAAACGGGGCAAATATCACTTTAACAGCTGTCTCGCTTACCAACAAAAATTAAGGGCTCCATTATGGTCGTAAGTAGAGGACTATCTATCCAGTGACAAACACCTCACCCCCAACCCTTTTTGCCCGCTTTCAAGGAAGCGGTGCCTCCCTAAAGCTGCCAAACTACAGTTCCCATCATCCGCAGTGTGGCGGATGGGGAGCGATGGGCGTTGTAGTCCCCGCCGGCCCCCCCCCCCCCCCCCCCCCTGTCCAGATCACGCATCTGTCGCTCTCCCACCCCGTGTGGCAGGATACGCCCCCTCACGCCCCTCATTGGCCCAAGGCGACGTTACAAACACGGGCCGCGCCCACTAACAAACCTTTTCACAACATCGGGTCCCCGCCCTCGCTGACGGCCACGCCCCCCTCCTTTTTCTTTCGGCGGAGGTGGGCGGATTCTCGACGTCCTCCCCTCCCTCGTCCCTTATATTATGATTGCGCCCCTTTCTCAGTCGCCGCCGGCGAGATTGGCTCGGGTGGCGTTCTCTCCCCGCCCCTTTTCAGCTCCTCCTCCTCCCTCCCGCCTCCCCGCCCCACAACGCCAGGCTCGTTTTGGTTCCTGTGTCAATCAGTCAAATCATAAACCAACGAGAGAAAGAGAGAGAGAGAAACCAGGCGTGCTATCGGGGGCCGCTCTTTCCCAGCGCGGCTTCCATTCCTTCCGCGGCTTCGTCTCCTCTCCTCTCGCGGAGCCCGACGGGAGAATGGCGCCGGGGTCCCGCTTCTCCGCCACAGCGCCCCCTGCTTTCCTCCTTCGCGTGCGCCCGCCGCCCCGCCTCTCCTCCTCCTCCTCCTCGTCCACCTCCTCCATCCATCCATCCTCTCAGGTTCCAAGATGGCGGCTGCGACGGCGGCGGCGGCGGCGGTTCCCCCTTCCCCGCCTTTCCCTGCCGCCCCGCCGCCGGAGGGCTCTTCCCGCCCGGGCTCTTGGCCCAACTTCGCCGTCGTCTGTTCCTTCTTGGAGAGGTACGGCGCCCTCCTCGACCTGCCCGAGCTGCCGTTCCCGGAGCTGGAGCGCGTTTTGCAGCCGCCTCAGGAGCCCGGCGACCAGGGTAAGCCGAACCCGGAGCGAATCTCCCTCAGCTTCGGCCTCGAGCGGCTCCTCGGAGCAAAGAGAGCGAGGCCTTCTTTTCCTCACCCGCCGTCGCCGCCGCGGGGCCCGCTTCCCTTTTCTCCGGGACGCCGCCGTTGGCTTCCCGTGGCCCGGCCGGGCCTGCCTCCCTCAGCGCCGGGGAGACCCGTTTTTTTCTCTCTCTCGGCCTCTCGGGGGGGTCGTCGTCGTCGGTCCCTTTTGTCCCTTCCTTCGGGAGCGGGGGAGGATTCGCCTCGCGGCCTTGCTCGGATCGGGAGGTCGTCCCCGCGTTTGTGCTGCCTTCGCACGAGACGCCGAACCCGGGTCGGACCCTGAGGGACTCCCGGGCTCCGGGGGAGCCAAAGGGGGAGGGTTTTCCTCCGTCCCCCTTCAGCTAAATTGGGATTGATCAGCCTGGGGAGTGGGGGGGGGAGAGAAGGGGATGATGGGCATGCAGTGGACCATGGATACAAAATGCCTCTTTCCTCTAACCAGCAAAGTGCTCCATGGTTTGGAGAATCCGATCTCCCTGGTACTTTGGCATCTCTTTGCTTTATTACTATTATTATTTATTATTTGA